TGATGAGAATGTTTTAGCCTTCACTGTGAATCAAGAAGATGGTAAGAGTGAAGTTTTAGATGACACTAAGGATATCTATGTTGAGCAACAAGAAGCATATGCTAAGATGTATGACCAATGGCCAAAGGCTATGAAAAAGTTTCAATCTCTTGGTATTGAGAATGCTTCCTTGTTGAAACAAAAGAAAGCCTTGTTCGAAAAAATTGTTGTGCTTACAACTGAACTAACTAAGGCTAATGGACTTGAATCAGTTGATAGTGGACATGTCACTTATGGAGATGGGAAGAAAGGTAAAATTCTTGGCAAGGGATCAATTGTGCTTCCTAATTTTCTAGTTTTGAAATATGTCGTACTTGTTGATGGTTTGAAAGCTAATTTGATTAGTATTAGTCAAATTTGTGACAAAGATTTTGTGGTTCAATTCTCAAAGAAACAAGTGTCAAATCTAGAATGGTAAAGGTGTTTCTCTCATTGAGGGAAAAAGGTCAAATGACAATTGTTACTTGCTTACTAACCGTGTGTCATGTTTTAGTTCAAAAACAGATTCTACTAACTTGTGGCATGAGAAGCTTAGTCACATGAACTTCAAGGACTTGGTAAGACTCTCAAAGAAGGAAATGGTTAAAGGACTACTAAAGCTTGAACTTCCAAAAGGTAACGTGTATGGTCCATTCCACCAAGGTAAGCAAACCAGAATATGTCATAAAGCTTTGTCAAATCTCAATACCTCATGTGTTTTGAAATTGCTCCATATGGATCTAATGGGGCCTATGCAAGTTGAAAGTTTGGGAGGTAAGAGGTATGTGTTTGTTTGTGTTGATGATTTTTCAAGGTATGCTTAGGTTGATTTTTTGCATGAGAAATCTGATTCATTCAATGCTTTTTAGAAATTGGCTAAAAGGTTTCTTGTTGATAAGAGTTCTAAAGCTACAAAGAATTAGGAGTGACCATGGAAAGGAATTTGAGAATATTGATTTTGCTAATTTTTGTGAATTGTAAGGCATATTTCATGAATTTTAAGCACCAATAATACCTCAACAAAATGGTGTTGTGGAAAGGAAAAACAGAGTGCTTCAAGAGATGGCTAGGGTAATGCTTAATGCCAAAAAGCGGCCTACAAGACTTTGGGCAGAAGCCATTAACATGACATGTCATATTTCCTATAGAGTTTAACTTAGAAAATGAACTATTTAAACTCCCTATGAGCTATGGAAAGGTAAGAAACCTGATCTCTCATGTTTTTATGTGTTTGGTTGCAAATGTTACATCTTGAATGATAGAGAGAATTTAGGTAAGTTTGATTCTAGGAGTGATGAAGGAATTTTTATTGGATATTCTTCCAATAGCCGTACATTTAGGATCTATAACATGCACTCTGAAAAAGTCTTAGAATCCACTAATGTTGTGTTTTGTGATGTAGAAGATTTTTCAGAATATTCTCAAGAATGTGAAATTCAAGACATATATGTTCCTCGTGTGCCCACACAAGATGGTGTGAACACTATTGAATCTTTTGAGCCTAAACCTTTGGCAAATATGTTGTCACCTACTACTGGTGCTACAACAATGGGATCTGCTTTATGCAAAGAATCATCTACTGATTCATCATTGTAAAATGAGGGGATAGAGCTGGTTGTTGATCTTTCTAATTAAAACCTTCAAAGGAGAAATCAAAGAAGAAAAGATCCACCAACCTGGGTTCAAAAAGCTCATCCACCTTCAACCGTGATTGGAGATCCAAATGAGGTAATGGTTACAAGAAGGAGAAGACAAAATGAAATTAACCATCTTTGTTATATGTCTCTTGCAGAACCTAAGAATGCCAAACAAGCTTTAGAAGATGAAAATTGGATTGAAGCAATGCAAGAATTTGAATAGTTTGAAAGGAATGATGTGTGGACGCTTGTACCAAGACTAGAGGGAATTAACATAATAGGTACCAAATAGGTTTTCAAAAATAAAACTGATGAGTTTGGTAATGTTGTCAGGAACAAAACTAGGCTTGTAGCTCAAGGATATACACAAGCTAAAGGAATCAACTTTGATGAAACCTTCGCCCCTGTTGCCTGACTTGAATCAATCTGGTTGCTGCTGTCTATTGCTTGCTGCCTCAAGATCAAATTATTCCAAATGGACGTCAAAAGTGCCTTCTTGAATGGAATGCTCACTGAAGAAGTATATGTTGAACAACTTATTGGCTTTCAAGACCCCCACAAACCTGATCATGTATTCAGATTGAAGAAAGTTATCTATGGTTTGAAACAAGCCCCATGAGCCTAGTATGAAAGGTTGACAACTTTCCTTCTTGAGCATAACTATGAATGAGGTAATGCCGACAAAACCCTTTTCATTAAGCGTGCTAACAATGAAATTATATGCGCATAGATTTATGTTGACGATATTGTGTTTGGTTCTACATCTCATTCACATGCTCTAGAATTCATTAGTCTGATGAAAAATGAGTTCGAGATGAGTATGGTAAGGGAATTGAATATGTTCCTTGGTCTTCAAATTAAACAAATGAACAATGGCATGTTTGTTTCCCAATCAAAGTATGCTAGAAACATGTTGAAAAGATTTTGTCTTGAGAATGCAAAACATGCTAGAACCCCTATGAGTGCTACCCTTAAGCTGTGCAAAGACGAACATGGTAAAAAGGTAGATAATAAGATGTACCAAAGCATGATTGGAAGTCTTCTTTACTTAAATGCAAGCCGGCCTGATATTTGTTTTATTGTTGGTGTTTGTACTAGGTTTCAAAGTAACCCATCTGAGTTGCACTTGAATGTAGTGAAAAGAATCATGAAATATGTTTCAGGTACGTGTGAATTTGGCCTTTGGAACTCATTTGATTCTAATAGTTGTTTGGTTGGATATAGTGATGTAGATTGCGCAGAAAGTTTGGATGATAGGAAGAGTACTTCAGATGGATATTTCTATCTTGGAAACAATCTTGTGACATGGTACAACAAGAAGCAAAATGCAATCTCCCTATCCACTGTTGAGGTTGAGTACATTGCTGTAGAGAGTCGTTGCACTCAAATTTTATGGTTAAAGCAAATGTTAATTGATTATGGTGTTGATCAAGATTGTGTGACTATTTTCTGTGATAACATGAGTGCCATTAACATCTTTAAGAATCCAGTCCAGCATTCTAGGACTAAGCACATTGATATAAGACATCATTTCATTAGAGAGTTAATTGAGGAAAACATCATTACACTTGCTCATATGAACACAAAATCCCAATTGGCTAATTTATTTACAAAAGCACTTGACTATGATACTTTTGTTTTCTTGAGGAAGTCCATTGGACTACTTCAACTTGAATAGTTTTTCATTTCAGTCAATGAATAAAGCATGAACAAAGAGTAAACTTGGACTTTAGGGTTTTTGACAAAAAAAAAGAGCAAATTCTTGGACTTTCAAAACAATGAAATTGCAGCTGGAAATTGTATATATTATTTGTAATATCTAAAGAGAAAAATATCATTTTTAATAGCTTAATGACACTTTTCTACTCATAAACTTTTAAAATATCATTTTATTATCCAAATTTATATTCTAAAGGGGAACAGAGAGCAAACTTGGTCCAGGCTATTAGGGTTTTTGAAAAGGTGAGACCGATGAGTCTTTTGGTGATAAAATATTGGATTTTGGTGGTGGAAGGTTGGACTTTTAAAAAATAAATGAAAACTTGAGCCTACGTTTAATGGCTTCTTTTTATTTAAGCTAATACATAATAGAGTAACCGTCATGTTCCCACTCAAGGTTTGGCGAAATAGCAAGTTTCCACATCTAGTTTCATAAATTCTAGACAAAAAATAGTTTAATATGACAGTCAAAGGGTAAATTTGTCATTTTTACTGTATTAAATCTGAAGAAAAAAATTTGAAACTTTAAGCAAAGGATAGATAATTATAATTAAAAAAAAAAAAAAATGAAAACCTGGGCCTATGTTTAATGGCTTGTTTTTATTTAAGTTAATATATAATATAGTAAGTGGCAGCCCCAGTTTTTTTTTTTTTTTGTCAAGGAGACACTTTAAAGAAAGAAAAAAAAATTGATATCTACGTATGGTAAAAAAAAATCAATAGTTTATAATTTAGAATAAGTTATAATAACTAAAATTCAGATAAAGTAATAATAATAATTATTTTTCATTGAAAAATTCTTTGAATTTGATTTTTCATATGAAAATTGCGATGTCAATTAATTAGTTTTATACAGTGTAAAAAACTCTTGGGTCCAATAGTAGGTGTGCATACGAGCCGAGCCGAGTCGAGCCGAGCCGAGCAATGGCTGGCTCGAGCTCGGCTCGTTGAGACATTGTGTAAGCTCGAGCTCGACTCGGTTAATTAATTGTAAGGCTCGAGCTCGGCCCGGCTTGACTCGTTAAGTTTCGAGCCGAGCCGAGCTGAGCTCGAGCTTGAGCCAAGCTCATTTGCAGATTTTTAAATAGGTTGCAGATTTGCAGATTTTTGAATAGCCAAGCTCCGTAATTCAAAAGCAGCTAAAGTTGTAGTAAAAGCATTTGAATAGGTTGGAGATTTATCTTCACAGCGTGTTGTAATGGGAAATTAAGATTAGTTTTCATAGCATTAAAATTTATTCCGGCAAACCACATAGTTTTGCAACTTAATATAAAATCATGCTACATATCAATTAAAATAGCTGAAGCTAATCTTGAGACAATATAATTTATATGCTTGTCAATATCTGTGCACATGTAAAACATTATGTAGAAAATCTCAACATCCGTCCACACTTGCTACAAGTGGTTAATGCTTAATATTCAATAAAAGTCATTAAATTTAAAATTGTTGGCTCATTGAGCATCCATACAAGTGGTTAAAGAAAACCATATGACTTACAGTCCAACAATTAAATTGTTTTCGCAAAGAAATCGCAGGCAAGGGAAAAACTATAACAAAATGTTCAGTATAAGCATTGAGTGAAAACTAAATTCAGATTCAGGATTTTTCTACTGCAGCAAGTAATCAAAATACAACTGTATCAAGCATGGTTCCCAGAGTCTGCACTATGTTTGAAGACATCAGGTTGGACACATGTTCCTCAAGGTGCTTCTTAGCATCTTGCCTTGCTACATTAGCAATTGCCAGCTTTTCTGGTGGCAACTCATCTTCCTCTTGAACTGCCTTGCTATATTTGACAGCTAAGTTTAACATCTCCTGCACATGCCAAAAAGAAAAATTAAATAAATATCACATCGGTTTGATTATAACCTATAGTGTATGTTTCTATAGACAAATTTTTCAGACCAATTTCGCTTACCAACTCAAACACACAAAACCCAATTACAAAACCGTCTCAAATCCCACAAAACTCAACACTAACCATAAACAAAATACAAAACACTGCCATTTTCAACAATCAAACACACTCCACATTACGAAACCACCAAAGCAGCTGAAGTTGCAAAACCATAAAACCACCAAACACACTCCTACAGACTAAAAATGTATCCAAGCAATAAAAATCTGCTAGCTGAGATAAAAACAAACCTCAATTGGTTGCCTACTTGAGCTCCAGTTGAAGTTGATCTGATTGTAGGGAGAAAAAGAGAAACAAATCATATAACAATCACTTTAATGGTTTAACTAATTTCTCATAAAAATTTCAACATTTACTATCACCAACCTGTTAAGATTCCACCAAAACTTCATAGGATCGGAAGCCGAAACTCCGCATTTGTCTTCTCTTTCTAAACAACAAAAAGGAAAACATATTGTTTGAATAATGTTAATAAATGACCAAATTAATACATAATTTTAATAAAATGGACTACAGAAGTATGAAACTTACTTTATAACTTTTCTTGACTCCATAGAGATTGTGACACCAATCACCACCACAGATAGCATTTGCACGGTATCAGGAGACGACGATGATTGATAAGTGTCAATAACTCGACTCCCCGCACTAAAAGTTGCCTCCGAAGCGACTGTGGTGATTGGAATTGCAAGTATTTCACGAACCATCTTAAATAGAATGCGATAGTTTGTTTGATTTACCTTCCACCACTGTAACGCATCAAATGAGGTATCATCCTTGTCCCATAACAAACATTTCTCCTCTAGATAACGATCTAACTTAGATTTCTCATGTTGCACCGTTTCAGTTGTCCTAACAAACTGGCAAAACCGTGAACTAGTACGTTTAGGGCGTTGTACATTGTCCCGCTGAACTTTATTGATTTCTATGGGTGGTTCACTGTTGGCAAATTGAGTTTCCGCTGCATATTCCTCATAAATCTCATACAAGGCAGCTTGCACTTCATCAATTTTGTCTTGTGCTTCTTTATGAGGATACATTTGTGGGTAGGCAAATTGCAACATCCTCATTTTCATCCTCGGATCCAATACAGCTGCAATTGCCATTATGAAATTGCATTCCCCCCAATACTTGTCAAACTTTTCTTTCATCTTTCCCACCATTGACCGAATGAAATCATCATCATCAGAACACTTTTCATCTAGCAACTCTTTTATATCAACAATTTCTTGCAAAAATATGTTAGAAGTGGGGTACTCACTCCCCGATATGACATTGGTTGCCGAGTTGAAGTCTTCCAAAATCTCACACACTTTCTTAAGTTTTTCCCAATCTTCATCTATTGGGGCAAAAGTAAAGTTATTATCCAATTGAACTAACATTGGAAACACATCTTTGTACTGAATTGCAAGTGTCAACATCTGATAAGTAGAATTCCACTTTGTTTTGCAATCAAGTATGAGTTTCCGTTTGGGCAACTGCAACATCTGAACAATCTCTACAAACATAATTGCTCTGGTCTCTAATTGCTTGACATACAAAATATACAGTCACGTATGTCTTGAATGATGGGCTTAATTTGGGAAAGCTCATCTTGAACCATGAGATTCAATATATGTGCTGTGCACCGCACATGAAACAATCTCCCACCACACATTAGCTTCTTGTTTCTTCCTAAATTCTCCCTCAAAATCTTGATTGCCGCTTCATTACTTGAAGCATTGTCAACCGAGATACTGAACACTTTGTTCTCAATTCCCCATTCAATTAAACACTTATGAATAGCAATAGCAATCTCAACACCAAGTCGAGGAGCCAGTATATGAACAAAATTGAGCACACGCTTCTGCAACTTCCAATCATTATCAATAAAATGTCCGGTGACAACCATGTACTCAAGCTTCTGATTAGAAGAATTCCATAGATCAATTGTCAAACTAATCTTGTTAATACTCTTAAGCAAATTAACTAACTTCTTCTTTTGTATTTCATACACAGTCACACAATGTTGTTTCAAAGCAGTACGCGTTATCTTCTCCCATAGTGACATACCACATTTTTGCATCATGTTAAAACCCTCATCCTCCACAACTGTAAATGGATGCTCGTGCATGAGCACCTAGTTTGCAGCTAGTTCCCGCATCAAATTTATATCAAACTTGGCATCTGAAAATGCAAGTGCAGATCGCATTGAGATATCATCTGTTGAATTGGCTGGCCGAAAAAACAACTATGTTTGCATCTGACTACCTATTCGCTTCAAACATGATTTCAAATGTCTTGCAAACTAAGTTGTGCTCTTGGTTTCCGTTATTGCATTAACAATAATAAAAAAGAAAAGTAACTACAAAGAAGTCATTAAAAGAAAGAAGTACTAATTATGGAGGCAACTTAAAAGAAGGAAGTATATTTTTGAACTATGCAGACATGCTGCCTAATGGATAAAACAGTTTTAGGCCCAGTTTCTGTTCTATAACTGAAGTTTAATATAACTTTGCCAAAGCACAAAATACTTTTATCTGAATATGAGGTCGTGCATAATTGGCAATCCATGATATGATACCATTCATTTCCCTTATTTATGAATCATTGTCCCCTTCCCACTTTCTCAGTCGCTCTTGAATCACTACCATAGATGAACCACATCTCTTTTATCTCATTACCCTCATTTATCTAACAAAGCTCTTCTAGTTTACTTGTTCCAACAGCACAAAGCAGTGTAGTGAGCTTATATTATATGTTTATATATTTTCTGATCACAGGATTCAAGCAAATAGAAGCTCAAATCAAATGTGGACTGATGATTAATTGATATGCTTTTCGTAATTGTGTGGTGCAGTGCAGACATGCCATATATGGCGGAAATTGTGGGTCGGTTTATACATAAAGTGGGAAACCTTAGAGAATGATTGTAAAACAGAGAACATTATAGTTATATATGTGGGTCATGGCTGCCTGCCACTTATATATAAAATTCAGGAATAATTTCACCGAACCTAGTTTAATTATAATATGTTGGAGGATACTCAATAAATATTCAAATCTTTATAAGCCTCGATCCTAATATCTTCTTACGATAATTATAGTCCTTAATTGTTTACTGGATATGTTTCCAAACTATGATGTCCCTGCACACTGTGCTGTTCAAGACAGAATGTTTCTGCCAAATAAGAAGGGTCTTGAATAAGGATAGAGTTCTTAGAGATATCTAAGAAGGCTCTAGTTATATTTTTAAGAAATTAAATTAACTAGTTCAGGGGATAGATAACTAGTTGAGTATATAGAACCTGGGATATGTCACTAAAATATTGATGAGTCTACTCTTGTTCATCAGATTGATTAAATCATTCTTACTTTATATTGCCATTTATCTACAAAGTGAAATGGTTGCCACTGTGAGAGAGGAGGTTAATAACTAAAGCATGCAAATGAAGATCTGTTAAAGCAAGTAGAAGGGCTTCAGATGAACAGGTTCAATGAAGTTGAAGAGCTGGTGTACCTTCGCTGGGTCAATGCGTGTTTGAGGTATGAGCTCCGGAACTACCAGGCACCCGCCGGAAAAACTTCAGCTCGTGATCTCAACACGAATCTAAGCCCCAAATCTCAGGAGAGAGCTAAACAGTTGATGTTAGAGTATGCAGGATCAGAACTGCAATGATTATACATATAGCTGATTTAGACTTAATAGAATATGATCCACAGATTGCTTAGAGCATACTGTTCTAAGTTTGGTAGTGCATCTAATATGGGTTCAACTTCAGCAGCCTCTCGTCCTGTATTCAAGTTGAATCTCAGTCAAACACTTTGTGGATCATAATTGTTCAAAGCAGTTAAAGCTACAGAATAAAGAAATGAAGAAGGGAAGCATCCAAATCAGAAGACTAAAGACGTTTCAATAAACTTGACAGTAGCTTACGTACATAACATTAACAAAATAACAAATAGAAGTTAAGAAGGGACGATGATGGTGGACGGTAGTAGCTGAAGCTGGTCGTTGGTCGGTAGTAGCTGAATGAAGGCTAGATGAAGGTTGGACAATGATGGTGTCTCAGATCTTGCGGTGTGTTTTGGCGGAGGTGAGTAGCTGAATGTCTCTGTTTTCGGCCGAACGAATGACTTTATTTCAGATTTTAGGGCAAATATGGATACGTGAGTTTTGCCTTACCGATTGATCTCATGAGCTCTCCTACTCAAATGACGTTTTGAGTGATTCGAACAGCTCGCGAACAGTTTCAATCGAGCCCAAAAAGCTCGACATTTTTCACGAGCTTGAAGTTGAGCTTGAACTCGTGAACAACTCGTTCTTCGACGAGTTGAGGCTGAACTCGTCACGAGTCGAATCCGAGTAGCTCGTTCGACTGCACCCCTAGGTATATAGGTCCTCCTGACCTCTTAATAGGGCTTAGAAACTTTTTTATCTGGGCTTAGAAAGAAATTTAATGAGGTTAAAAAAAACCACTCAAAGAAAAAGAAAAAGAAAAAAAAAAAAAAAAACACTTGGAGAAAGAGAGAAAATAGGTTTTTTTGCTTCAAGATCTCACAATCCAAATTCCAAAGGTTAATCTTCCTCCAATTTCAATGAAATTTCAGTATGTTGTTAATGATGATCTAAGTTTCACATCTAACATTTTAGTTTGATAAGATTTATTGATATCTACTTTTGAACGAATAATTTTATTTATTAAGATAGCCTAGTTATCTTGAGAGAAGAACTTTGTTGTAACCCATCAATTGCTTACGCTTGGGCTGGTTGATTTCTTACTCTTTTTGTTCCTGTGTTGGATATTTAGCTTTGGGTTTCTTGTTTCTGTTTGGTTCACGAGAAAAAAAAAAAAAATACAGGAATTGAAGAATTTTGTGGAACATGGGATTATTAAGACTTTATTGTTATGTATGGATTTTTGTGTCTTCGTTAGTTTTCCTTTAAGGGAGCAAGGAGACTCATTTAGCGAAAAGAAATTTTGGTGGTGTTGTTTGTCTTGGTTCTTCTTCGATTTGCTTCTATTCTCGTTTGTTATTGGGAAAATGAGGAAAAAATATGTAAATTAGATAATATGAAACATTGATGTTCATTATGTGGTTCCTTCATTTCTAATTCTTTCAATTTTAGGTTTGTTGTAAATTTTCTTTGCATTTAGTTGCTTTCTGGAGAGTGAAAATCCTCATAATATGATAATCTGACTACTCCTTTTGCTGTTATGTTGAAAACTGGTTTTGAGTCTCTAAATTCTGTGTAGTTATGGACAGAGTTAACGCTGATAACGTTTGGTTTTCAGATTGTTTTCAATTGTTTTGTTTACGAGTTTGGGATGGGGGTTATGGACAATTTGTTGCATATGGAGTCTGCAAGAGTGGTTTCATTGAGTAATGGTAATCATTGCTGAGGACAGATAAGGAATGTTGCCAATGGAAAATGGTCATTGTGCTTCTAAGCGTGGTTTACATAAGTATAAGCAGCAGAGAGTTTCTGCTGTTCGGGATTTTCCTCTAGGTTGTGGACGGTTTGTCTTGCAGACACCCAATAGAGATACTGTTGTTGGTATAGTTTGCCCTGAGGCAGATAATTTTGTGCACTCATCTAATCATTTGGAGAGGTCTGAATTGGTGAGTGCTGATCCTGAAGGAGCTTTGTTTCCAGAATCTGAAAATTTAAAACCGTTAGAATTTAAAATCTCTAGTGGGTCAAAGCAATTGAATGGGGCAGATATTGGTGCCTCAAAGAAGAGATGTCCCTGGAAAGTGGTCTGAAGGCATTGTTGCCACCTGACCGGCGAATTGCTGTTCCAATTATTGGTGAGGAGAATTCAGTAGGTAAAATTTATCCACCTTGGAGAAGAGTTTCAGCGATTAGAGACTTTCCTCCAATTTGTGGGCCAAATGCTCCATGTATTGGCAAGGAAGAGTTGAGCGAAATGATTGTTTCTTTGAAGAGTTTGAATGAAGAGAATTTTGTTACTGAAGAAAGGTTTTTGAGAGGGACCGTGGAGATTGATGTGAAACAAATGAAGGAGGATGGTTATCATGGGTATGCATTCAAGAATAATTTGAATGGTGATGGTTCTAGAATCATCTGTGATCAAGATCTATCCAATCTAAAAGAACATGCAACCATGGGAGTGAAGAAACATGATGAGTTTGGAACTTCGTCTAAGAGCATTATGAAGGTTGCTGAGGAAGATGTTGGAAAAAATATCATTGCATCTCCACGAGGGACTGAACAATATAGGTTTGACCATAAGGTTGGTTCAAAATCAAGCAACGAGGATGTTGGAGTTTTGGAGGAAAATCTGGTGAGGGATATTGTGGTTCATGCAGAGGATAAACAGTTTGATAGGAATTGTTCAGATTTTTTAGGAAGTGGTAATCAATTCACTGAGGAAGATCCTGATTATTCATTGGTAGCATCGAATTTGGTTATTGCGCATGGTCTCATGGCATCCCCAAATTGTCCTTGGAGACAGGGGAAAGGGGCCTTCAAATGTAATTGCGCTGTTGTTACTAGTGAAAGCGTTGTGCTGCTAGTACGTAAATCAGCTTTCACAAGAAAGAATGAAGCAGAGAGCTCTAGAAGGCCACCCAATAAGAAGAATTTATCATCAGTTGGAGAGGCAGATCAAGCTATCGTTTTGTTAGTGGTTTGGGATGAGGAAGATTCTCTTGTAAATGATGGGGAAATAAAAAATTTCAGCTGGATCAGAGATCTGTTACTTTTGATGTGAACCTCCTTCCTTCACATCCAAGTAGTTCAATGCGTAAGGGCGCTTACAATGATGTTACTGGTGCTCAAAACAAAGTGAGGGAAACATTGCGCCTTTCCAAAGTGTCTGTAGGAAGCTGTTGCAAGAAGAAGAGGCAAAGGTGAATGGGCAAAACAATCGTAAGAGAATTGATTATCTAGCAGCAAGAATTCTCAAAAACAAAGGGAAATATGTCAATGATGGCAATAAAATCATTGGGTCTATTCCTAGTGTTGAAGTTGGTGATGAGTTTCATTACACGATAAAGCTCAATATCATTGGTCTTCATCACCCAACTCCGGGTGGTATTGACTATGTCAAGCATAAAGGAAAGTTTCTTGCTACAAATATTGTAGCATCTAGGGGTTACGATGATGACTTGGATGATCAATGGAGGGAAAAAACCAGAAGATCAGAAGCTTGAACGAAGTAATCAAATTAATGAAGGAAGCTTTGTGAAAAGGAAGCTGGACTTTACAACTTGGGCTTTGGAGTTAGACACTGAAGTGTTTGATAGGGATTTAGGGTTCAGGGAAGGTTTAGAATATAATACAAGAAACGCTGAGCGAGATTTAAATGTAGGTAGAAAGAATATGGGTGATATTAACAAGTTTACGTATGTTGGTCCAAGTACTTATAATTCATGTCGAACAGAGAGAACAAATCAGAGGGGTGCGTGCTCTGTCTGTTTCAATATGTGGGCACCTAGAAGAAAATGCTGGGAAGGAATCAGATTTGGGAAAGGGAGATCACTCCTTTGAATGTGTTGAGGATGCTGGCTGCAAAACGTGATTGTGACAGTCGTCTTGAGAATAGAAGTATCTTAGATGTTGCAAAGAGCCGCGGTGGCATGACTTTCCCATAGATAGTTGTTAAAAAGGTAGTTTCTTCAGTAAAAGATAAAAAAGCAATTTATTGTCTTTTTACTGCAGTCATGTAGAAATGTTCATTGTACCAATTTATACGTGCTTACCGAATTTTATCGTTTTGTATGGAAAGTAATTGAATTATCGATTATTCTTGATTCGAAATGTTGGTTGTTTTGTTGAGTGCAGATGTGGATTGCAAAGGCAGAATATGACGAGTCAGGACCATCAATTGTGCACAGAAAATGCTTCTAATTGCAGAAAGAGAAAAAAGATGCCATCAATGAAGAAGGAACATATACCAAAACATTTATATCAAGGACAGGCTTCTAATTAAAGTGGTTGCGGAATTATTATTTTTTTCCTTTTTCTTTTTATTTACCCTTTTTTGGCCTTTTTAATTTTAATTTTAATTTTTTGGTGTTTTCCTCTGTTGATGTATGAACAATTGAGTATGGGAGAGATTCAATTCTTTACAATACTATTTTGATAGTAGAAAGAGAAAAAAAAAAGTAATGTATTGTTACTGATTTGGTTTGGGGTTGAATTAAAACAATTCTTTTTAATTCTTGGTCTGAGCTTGATTCAAATATTGTATTGTCAAGGACTTCAGTTCCGAATTCAGGTTATTTCTGAGAGATGGGATTGTTTTCTCCGGTTTAAAAAACAATACAATCTGAAATTTTGCGGATTTCTCCCAATAGGCAACAAGAAGAAACTTGATTAACTATTCAATCAAATCATATTAAGCGTTTTCCATCTCTTCTTCTCGGGAAACATCTAGGCTCACTATCATAACACAAATTTGTAACGTAAATTCGGGGAATTTGTCAATCAAATTCTGGAATATTCCAAGATCCAGGACAATGTAAGTAGAAGAGGACTGATTATAAGTGGCTGGGCACCACAGAATTTAATACTTGAACATCCAATCATTGGAGGGTTCTTGACACTCTCATTAGAAGGTGTAGGCGACGGATGAATCGTCTTTGATAGAGAGACATAAGATCAAGAAGGCAGTGTGTGCAGTCATTAATAATGAAGATGAAACATTAGAGATGAGGAAGAAAGCGAATCGTCTCTGAGAATTGGCAAAGAAAGGTGTTGAAGAAGGTGGGTCAACTTACAATGACATGAAGGGTCTAATTCAGAGAAATCAAAATGTGCAAAAAGTCTTGAGAATTGGTAAGTATAGGGGATTAAATGGTAATTAACCATTTGTAGAAGCTATTTACTATCAGCTAGCTATTAATAGGATTTATCATATCATTTGCAAGTAGCATGCATTTGATGCATTTAACAATTGAAAATAACAACTTCATTTGGAGACAAACCAATGTGCAAGGAAAGTAGTGCATATAGAAAACAATGAACTACATTGTAACAAGAAATGAAGGAAAAAACCTGACAAGATAAAAATGAAAGGAAATTGATTTACACATAAACAATAATCAGGGTTGAAAGTAGTTTGAGTTATTAATAGGTACCCTGCCATCTTCACATTCCCAATCAGCCGGGGGCGGGATTGATCTTAGTCTTTCTGGAATTCTGAACTTGGATATCTCTGGAATCTTCAAGCCTCTAAGCATTGGCATTGAATCTTCATGTACTTGCCACTCCTCCAATTCATAGAAATCAAATTTTAGAATTTCAAGACGAGGGAAACCATTTGCCGAGCATATCATTTTTTTTTCACTATAGGAAATGAAGTCTAGCACAAGAATCATCAGGTTTGGCAAATTCTCCAACAAGGCCATTGGATCATCCCCGAGAAATGGACCAGATAACTTTAAACATTCAAGATTTGGTAAGAGTTCCTCCATGTTTCTTGGTAGTTTCTCTATTGTCCCACTTAATCTCAAATCTACAAGACATGTGCAATGAGCAAGTGCCTGCCATGAAGCAAAAGATCGATCAGACAGCAACTTCGACCTAACTGATAAAATTTGAAGGCTTTTCAATTTGCCTATTGATTCCAAATCGAACTTCTTTGGTAATCTCGAATCTGATTCGATTCGCAGCTCCCGAAGATAAACCAACTTTTCAGGATTAATTTCACTCCAACATTCAAGATTTATGTACTTCAGAGTTTGAAGGTTTGTCAAATTCTCTACTGGCAATGGTCCTCGAAAATTTCCAATTAGATGCTTCAATTCCTGCAACTTACAAATCTCAATTGGTATTTCATGAAAAAACCACTCAGTACCATATATGTCAAGAGTTTGCAGCCTTTTCAAGTTGACAAAGGATGATGGAAAATGATATATATATGCATTCCTTAGCCCCAAATATTTCAAGTGGATCAACTTTCCAATCTCTTTAGGTAAGCTTCTCTTACTCTCCGGTACTACATTTTTTCTCACCGGTAACATATTGTTACTCTGAGAACACTCAACATCAAGCACTCTGAGCAATCTGAATCTGGTGAAGAGGGGTGGTAAGTGCTGTGTTAATTTGAGTGATTCGTCCCACTTTTGGTTAAAGAAGAGAAACGAACGTGACAATTGATTATAGTGTTGAAACCACAAATGCCTTTCAACCTCTGAATAAACAGCTTGTCTTCGGCAAGATAATATGACCGGAGGCGGAGTTGAATGTATGGTTGCATCATAATAATATGCGAAGTTTGATTCCTTTGCTTTCTGAATAGCAAGATCGCGCAAAAGATCATGAACCCGACATGTGGCAGTCCTTCCCCAACATCTTTTCTCTGTTTGCACCAAACTTCTATTAATCAACTGTTTCAAATGACTCTCAGCCACTTCTTCCATTATTTGACCTTCTTTTTCTTGTATGAAACCCTCCGCCACTAGTAATCGAATTAGTTTCTCCACATGGATTTCAAAATCCTCTGGTAAAAGGCTTAGGTAGAGAAAACATAACTTCAATTCAAAAGACAAATCATTGAAACTTAAAGCTAACAGAAAGGAGATATGAATTGAATCGTCCCTTAGATGTTGCCAAATGTGATGATGTACCCTCCGCCATTCATGTGGCCTTTTCGTTGACAAGAGTCCTCCCAATACAACTATGGCAAGTGGTAAGCCTCTACATTTCTCCACCATTTCTCTTCCCAACTTCTTCAATCCTTCATCCGCATTTGAGTTTTGAAAGGCTTTATCACAAAAAAGCTTCCAACTTTCACTTGGCTTTAGAAATGGAAGCTCATGGACATGAACTTTTTCGTCCGAACGTTCAGCAACTTCTCTAATACGGGTGGTAATAATTACTCTACTACCATTATTGTTATCAGGAAATGCTCTTTTGAAGCTCTCCCAAGCTTCTTTATGCCATACATCATCGATCACTAGCAAGTATGAGCGTCCATTCAAAGATATTTGAAGATACCGCTCCAAATCTTCTTGACTCATCTTCTCCAACTCCTTTTTTCGAAGTTCTTTGATCTTCTGTTTCTCTCGCTCCAACTCTTCTGCACTCATCATCTTCTTCCTTCTTAAAGATTCTTCATCCTTCCTTTCAAGCATGATGTGGGAAGATTTTATAATCATTCGAAGAATATCTTCAGTTTTGTAATCTTGAGAGACTGAAACCCATGCTCGATCATGAAACTCAGGGCCGTCTCTAAAACATTTGTGACCCTAGGCAAGATTTATTTTAGGGGCCTTCTAATAATATAATTATTTATTAAAATATTATTTTAAATTTATTTTTCTTGCCTTTTGAGATGCAAAATCACTAATTAAATTTTTATATTCAAGTTTAGAAACCAAATCTTTTTCAATTGATAATATAGCCAAATTACCTAATCTTTCTTGTGACATAGTTGAACGCAAATAAGATTTTATTAACTTTAATTTTCAATCTCATATGTTACTAAAGAAATAGTTTCACTTTTTGTTTTAGGATCTTCACTAGTTTCTGCTAATTGATATAAAGCATCTCTTATTTGTGGAGCTTGAAATTTTATTGCTTTAACACTTTCAACACGACTTTCCCAACGTGTTTGTGATAATGGCTTAAGTGTCAAATTAGAAACATGATCTTGCAAAATTTTCCATCGTTTTGTAGAGCAGAAATATGGCATATACGTTGTTGTCCCTCCAAAAATGTAATAGCATTAGTACATGAATTAGCCATATCACAAAGAACTAAATTAAGACTGTGACAACCACATGTGTATAAAATGCTCTAGAATTTATATCTAAATATCTTTTTTGCACACCTTGATGTTTACCTTTCATATTAGACCCATCACTATCCTTCCTCTCACATTATTTACATCAGTTCAAGATTTTTTAATAGTTGTGAGAACATTAAAAAGGCTTGACAGAAGTACATCCACTTTTAAAATCTATAAATTACTCTTCTTTTTTTGGACTTATTGAAATATCTACACATCTTAATATAGTGACATTTGTTCTTGATGACTTTGTACTGGGGTACAATCAAGTATAACTGAAAAATATTTGATTCTTTGATTTTTTTAATAATGGTATTTCTATTTCTAATGCTAAAATATTATCAACTCATTTTGTATATTATGACCAAGATAAGAGTATAAATTTCTCCATTTTGAATACGTCTAAGGTGTTCTTGCATTATTGATCAACTCAGCAATCATTTCATTAAACTCAAAATTTTCCATTATTTTCTTGATAAATCTTCTCATTTGTACCGCGAAATGCCAAATTATTTTTTGAAAGATTTTTTACAACCGCTATAATTCTTAATGTACTTCTTCCAATGCTCCTTCTCTTTATATTTTCTCTTGTAAATATTTATCAATTGTTTTGTTTTTAAGCAATCTCATCTCAACATCAACCCAAATGTTCATATTTAGCTGTTCATTGCTGTTTCGTGACTTTTAAGCTTGGCACTAAGATTTTTCCAATCTCCAGACCCTTCATTTGCTAATTGAATTGTATTTGCTTTTAAACTAAATAATTTACAACAAAAACAAATATTATTTAATTCTTTTGATATATTAGCCATTTTCTATCATTTTTTCTCCATTTGGTAATTTTCGAATGTAATGAATTGTAGAAAAATTCTAGAATTTTCATCTCTTGGAAAATCTAAAACTTGTCTAATTGACCTTTCTCAACTAATAAATCACATAAGTTTGTTGTCTAAATTATTCCAGTGTACTGCGTCATAATATTTTTAATAGTTGTTTTATCTATATCATTAATATTTTCATTTTTGTCGAATGAAATTTCTTCTTCTAATTTTTCACGAGACTCTTCACTATATTGATGAATTTGAATTTTATCTCTAAAAATTTCTTCACAATTTTCAATTGTTTTTTCATTTAAATCTTCATTTGGTTTTTCTAGCATTTGGTGTTTTGTATTAATAACAAATTTATCAGTGCACCTTTTTGGGATTGAATTAGTTCTTCTATTTTTTTTTTTTTTTTACGTTTTTCAAATCCAGATTCATACTTCCTAGTAGAACCTATATATTCAAAGAATAAATAATTTAAAGCTCTTAATATTATTTTGTTAAAATAAAAATAATTATAAAAATTAAGAAAGAACTTTAGCACCTGATTTATGCTTCCGATTTTGCTTTTTGCTGTGCTGATACTCAAAAATCTTATATTATTACCCTGCATAAAAATAATAATGTAAATCAATTATTCACTCGATCAAATATAAAATAAAATCAGTTGAGAATACTAAGAGTAAAATGAAGAGTAAAATGATTTAAAGCTCTTAATATTACCTTGCATAAAAATAATAATAATGTAAATCACATCCACTTGATAAATTTATGTAATAAAGTTAAGATATGAGAGACAAGAGATGAGAAAGGAGAGACAAGAGAGAGATGCGAAAGGAGAGATGAGAGTAAACTGAGTAGAGATTAGAGAATAATGAGAGTAAAAAATGAGAAAACGTTGAAGTAAAATGAGGTTTATATAAGAGATTTGGGGGAGAGAGGAGATGTGATTTGATAATTGAGAGTTGGAGATTGCGTGAAATTGTATCAATTTTCAACGGAAAAGTAGCCGCCAATTGTGTTTTAAGTTAGCATGGTTGATTGGACATGGTGAGATTGATGGGAATTGATATATTAAAATACTGTTAAAAAAAAATCTTGGGTAAAGATAGACATAGGCGACTGATGAGATTGGTAAGAATTAAAAAATTATAAATATATTTTAATATTTTAAAAAATAATTTGAGGCCCTCTCTTTTACCCCTTTTTTGGGGGGCCCTAGGCAGGGGCCTCACCTGCCTAGGGGTTAAGCCGGGCCTATTGAAACTTATTCTTGACATCATAGTTGTGGTAAAGCTTTTTAGCAAGAGTTGTTTTACCTAAACCACCCATACCAAAAATAGAAATGACATCTCTCCGCGGCTCCCCATCGAGAAGTTTAGCCAACAATTTCTTAGCATCATCCTCAAAGCCAACAACATGGTCATCTACTACAAAGGAGGTGTCTCGTCTCAGTTCCTTCAATCTGTAAAGAGCACTGTCCTTTCCTTCACCCTTATTACCAATATCCTCAAGGCGATACTGTTCACGTTTCCGAGAAATATCACCAAGTTTCTGTCTGATCTCTTCGATCTTCTTGCCTATGTTGTGCTGATTGACAGCCTTTTCTCCTTTGCTGAAGAAACTGGACTCTCTGTGACTACTGGAGTCTTTACAGAAAATCGAAGAAAACTTCTTGATGGAAGCAGAAATTCTCCTCCTTTTCGGAGCCTCTTGTTCGTTGATTTTGAGCATAAACGTATCCAAGGCGTCCTCAATGTCATAAGCGACGTCTCTAATGTCAGATACCCACTTCCTTATAACATTATCATCAATTTGTTTTCTTTCTGCATCCTGCAGGAAACATTGCATCCATTCCAGTTCATTCTTTAGCGACTTCACTTCTTGTTTAACTCCTCGGAAGAGCACCGCTTCTTGGATAAGATAATCCCCAATCTTGTTCACCACAAATGAGATCACCGCATCAACCATAGCTCTCAAGTCTCAAGTCTCAACCTACTATTTTTTTTTTTTTCCTCTCTCTCTCTTTTTGGGTACTGCCCAATGCTTTACTGGCTTGATTGATCAAATTTGGGAACCGGAACCATTCTTTGCCCAAAAAGTGACCCTTCGCCTAAGAGAAGGGTTTATAACAATTTAATCCTCAAGGTTTGGGTAATAAATTATTGACACATCCGCGAGTTTCAAAAAATAACAAATACAGTACTACACTCAAAAAATTGATTACCTTATCATATAAAGACACTAACATCCCTTTGTCTAATTATTTTATTCAGTTTGATTTCTTTGATTTTAAATTTTAAATATAAAAAAGTTGAAATAAAAAATTAAAAGAATTTGAAACTTTGTTGCAAATAAACTTTAATATCCTTTATCTTATTATATGCACTCTCCTATTTTATTTCATATTTTCATTCATTTTTTAAGTATGTAATTTGATTAAATTTAGGTTTATTTTATTTTTAGTTATTGTATAAAAGTAAATAATAATTTAACTATGTATTTATATTAATCAAATTTTGTTATATAAATTTTTTAATAAATATTTATATTTATATTAATAAAAATAACAATCGAAGAAATAAAAAAGAAAAGAATAGATAATTAGACAAAAAGTGTTATAGTTTCTATATGAGAAAGTAATTAATTTTTAAATGTATTTGTCACTTTCTAAAGCCCAGGAATACAAGGCACAATTGACATTTACAAGTTAGGATGTTTGATAATTTTGTTGGGTAAAAGCTCCTATCATCGTTTGACCGTCAACGAATGTTAAGATATGATCGTCGTTGATGATCAAATATGATTAAATTTGACCATAGATTTGGTCTTTTTTTGTCAGATCCATGGTATATCTGACTGAAAAAGGTCAAATCAGTATATGATTCAGTCAAATCAGTATACGATTAGCCATATCCAATCGATTATGTGTTATTCCGATAAATTTTGGCCATCTTTAAATGGTGGTGATCGACTGTCGAAAATATGTGAGTGGATGAAGATGTTTTTGTCAATTTAACAATTTTTATTGTTTAAGGTGTTTTGTTAAATTAATAAATTTAAAAGGTTAAAAAATATTTTAAATTGAATAAAATAAAATTGGATTTTGAAAATATGAAAATAAATATGTATTTTGAATATAATTCGAATGAATAATATTTTGAATAACGAAAGATACAGCCTTAATTATTTGATGTATTTTATTGAAAAAAAATGATAAAAAATAGTTTTTTAATATATCGAGATGTTAAATTCTCTCTCTCTGGTGACAATCATGACTGGCCTCCACAAACCAAAAACTTTACCCTTACTTTCCACCCACTATCTCTTTTGTCAAAGTCTGCCAATAAAGAGAATGCTGGTCTTGGTTTCTATCCTCGAACGTCGCAATTGCACAATACAGTTGCTTTAATAATTACGTAAAGTAGAGACAAAAAGCTTGAAAGCTCAGAGACTTGGACTTTCATAACAACGAGATTCCAGCTGGAAACTTTCACAATTGGACACTGAAGTTTTATAATTACCATTTACCCCCCGAGGTTTTATTGTTATTATTATGTTGGGTTTATGTTAATTAACTAATATATTTTATATCTATTCTGTTAAATTAAACAATAAGATTCTGACAAAATATTGATAATAAGAGATATAACTCAAGAGTGTCAGAGTATTTTACCTCTTAAGTAGGTGAACGTGATTAAACAGCTATGTGAAAGAGAAGTTAATTGCATTCTCTCATTTGGGGTTCAGATTTTGTCATTTCAAATACTAGGAAACACTCACCTTGAAATTAATTGAATTTTGTAACATCAGTTAATTAAACATGAAATCACAGAAATGCCCTCAAATAGTAATGTTAAATATTTATATAAACATTCTAAAACTCGCCTATTGACTGATATGCTTAAAAACTCGCAGGACATGTTGGATGTGCTGGTTCTTTATATAATTCTCGTGGGTTTGAATATTTGAATGCTAAAACTGACATGGAAAATGTTACACCCATATGTCACAACCTTTTCTCACAAACTTTTTTTTCCAACCTAACGCAACAATTTATAATTGGTTAATTTGTAATGTGTCTCATCTGATAAATTATAATTAACCAATTACAAGTTGTCACATTAGGGTTGTAAGAGAAAGTTTGTAAAAAAAGATTGTGCACGTAACATTACTCAAACTAACATTGCACTCAAAGTAGAACCAGAAGGCATACACGTTTTTTTTCTTAATTAGGAGTGTCTGAACCAACTTACATATAACTTAACTAATTCTTCAAAATCTTAAAGTTAATAGTTGGATAACCCTTCAGTAATCATTTTTATTAGGAACAGAAAGAAATCAAACCTGAAGAATACTTAAAAATCCTAATTGACTGCTTGTGCTGGTTAAAGGCAGACGCGTTTTAAGAGTAAAGAGACGCGTTTTAATCTCCAGTTACTTTTGGTTATGATATAGAAAATGGTGACATAACAATGGTAGAGACACCAATCAAAGCAAAGCATGACTGAAAACCCATGTGAGGGCGGGCCCGATAAAAAGCACTATCTTTAAATCTTGGACTTCAATAACAACCAGCTAATTAAACAATAAAATTCTAATAATAAGAGGGATAACTCATAAAAGTCCAAGTATTTTACCTCTTATCGACGGATATGTATTGGATTTATACACTAAATAACGTGATAAAATCATGACCGTTGATTTATTATAAATTAATATTAATCAACGGTCAGGATTTTAACACGTTATTCGATATACAATTTCGGTGTATACTTTTCGATAACCTTATCGTTTTCCAATTAAACTATATGATTAGAGCGGAGTTAATTGCATCTTCACTTTTGGGGTTTCAGTCCATTGGGGTTTAGATCTTGTGGTTTAAATACTAGGAAATATTCGCCCTAAAATTAATTGAATTTTATAAAATCTATTAATTAAACATGAAATAACAAAAATACCCTCAAATAATAATGTTAAATATTTATACAAACATTCTAAAATTACGTAAGATTTTAGATAGTTAAATAAATGATTTTTAATTATGCAATTCATTTAATAAATTTATGGATTCTTTTAACATTATTGATTAGGATCATTGTTCTCATTTTCATTTATTTATTTTCCTTTTTCATTGTCATAGAAAATCACTCTCTCCTCTCCTCTCGTGAGTCAAACACAAAAAAATGTTTCAATTTAATTTAATAATTTATTTTAGAATAATACTACACATACATCATTTTTATACAACATTTCCCATACAACATTATGTGGCAAGATATGATTGGGTAAAAGTTTAATTTTAACTTTAAATTAGCCAATCATATCTTGCCACATAATGTTGTATGAGAAATGTTGTATGAAAATAATGTATGTGTAGTATTACTCTTTATTTTATGTCACGTGTCATGTTGTGGTTTAAAGTTAAAAATCTTCCCAACGTCAAAGGCTCCGTTTGGTTCAAGATTGTGAATACTACTCTTGGTATTCCCAAAAAAGTTAAACAGTAAAATACCCAAAATCTCTCATTTTTGGGAATACTATTTTCAATATTATTTAATTTTTTTTAAACTCTCTACATTTGTTAATTTAATTAAATACCCCTAAATATTTTTTTTTAAATTACAAAAACACCCCAACAATCCACATTTACCAGATTCCGGCCACCACTACCGGAAAATGGCCGGAATCTGGTAGGATGACGCACTACCGGCTGAATCTGGCCGGTAGTGCGCCGATCTAGCCTTTTCCGGTCAGATCCACGGTGGATCTGGCCGGAAAAGGCCAGATCTAAGGCCAAAGATCTGGCCGTTGACAGCCAGATCTTTGGCCGTAACACTCGGTCACGATGGCCAACAAACGGTCGTCGTTGACCATCAACGACAACTGTTTGTTGGCCGTCGTTGAGAGCAAATACGGTCAGACGGCCAGATCTGGCCGTTGACGGCCAGATCTGACCGTAGATCTGGCCTTTTCCAGCCAGATCCACCGTGGATCTGGCCGGAAAAGGCCATATCGACGCATGACCGGCAAGATCCAACCGGTCATGCGCCCATAAGGCGACTCCGGCCACCTCCGGTGGTGGTCGCCGGCTGGGGGTGTTTGAGGGTGGGTTAGGGGTATTTTTGTTAACTTTTAATGTTTTATTATAGGGGGTATTTTGTAAAAAAACAAACATAAAGGATATTTTATTAATTTATAAATTCTACATCGTAATACCCGCCCAATTCAACTTTTTTTTAACTTTTTTCAAAAAACTTTTCCCAAAACCCCCAAATTTTGAACCAAACGAAGCCAAAGTATTTATGACCTTTTTATGGCTCCAAATCCAATGCAACCCTTGGATATATAATTACAATAAATAAACATAAATTTGCAATGTAATGCTACTAAAATTTCGAAAACATTTTTTTTTTTTTTTTTTAACAGAAGTATTCGGGTCAGCCTACACATATTTTAACTAATTTTTTAGGATCCTAAAATTATAGATTAAGTAAGAGCTCTAATTATTATCTCTATTAGTAATTCAGCAGAGATTCACACTCAAAACCTCTTAAGTAATACATTTAAGAAACTCTATTGAACCACTTGACTACCTAAAGATAATTTAAAATTTCGTAAACTTCTCATAACTCAATTATGGTTCCAGACTTAGAGGTTCATCGTTGGACATAACAGACATTTTGAGTTCATGTATATAATTTGTCGTGAAAAAAATATATATATATATCTTTCATGTGTAGATGTATTATGTAAGTGAAATTTATCGCTTGAATAATCATCTTAAAACTTATCAATTGTTCTTATATTTCTTAAAATTGAGATTAAAGAAATCAGTTCATACATAAATATAACATATGTTTGGTTTAACTTATTAATAATGTGATATTTGTAATGTATTAAAGATTTTCTCATAAAACAAAATTTAAACTAATTTCCTAGATACAAGTTAAGGAACCTTTATACTTATT